GCACAATGTCCTCACAGCATTCTGTAGGTATCCATGGCAAAGTATAGCTCAATAGGTTGAAGCACAAGGACTGGGAGTCCAAATTGCCTTTGTGCCCCCTGAGAGAAGAGCCAGATGAGACTACCTGAATTGTATGTAAATGCTGGGGTTCTGTGCTTTTCTGTGTGTGACCTTGAGTGAACTGCATAGTCCTACAGTGCCACCAGAAGAAGGGATAAGTAAACAATTTCAAACTACTTCATAGCTCGAAAATCCTGGCACGGTCACCATACGGAGGAGTCAAAATGATGGCACATTATTAATTAAATTAGCAGTTTCTGGCAGTTATGCAGCCTGCCTGTAGATGTCAGCAAGGTCTCAGCTCCTCTTGACAACTAGATTTCCATGTCCAGTAAGAATCCATACAAAGCCCATTCTTGTACACAAACAATTTAAGCTGCCTTTACTCAAATATTATACTTTCTCTGAGTTCATTCTAATTTATGAATATAAACAAGAATCTGCCATTTTCAGGGGAGATACAATTTAACTAGCATGTTTACTTCTTCTGAGAATATCTTATTCTAGGAAATGTATTGCAAAACATGTTGCTCAGTATTTGTACTTGATATCTTGCTTAAAATTAAGCAACAAACATTATATTTCTTGTGACTGAATAAATTAAAACCAAACATCCAAATAAAACGATACAGCCAAAATGTAAGTGCAGTTAAACATGCCTAAGCTATTGGTTTACCAATATAGTAATTGTATTGGTATAATTACCATATCTACAAAACATGCCTAAGCTATTGGTTTACTGGGATACAATCTCAAATATGATAGAATGATTTCAATACAAATCCAAGGCAGACATTCAACATCATAGTAATGCAAGTTTATGCACCAACCACCAATGCTGAAGAGGCTGAAATTGACCAATTCTATGAAGACTTAGAATACCTTCTAGAACTGACACCAAAGAAATATGTTCTTCTCATTACAGTATAGGGGACTGGAATGCTAAAGTAGGGAGTCAAGAAATAAATGGAACAACAGGAAAGTTTGGCCTTGGAGTTCAAAATGAAGCAAAGCAAAGGCTAATAGAGTTTTGTCAAGAGAACAAGCTGGTCATCACAAACACTCTCTTCCAACAACACAAGAGGTGACTCTACACATGGAAATCACCCAATGGGCAATACCGTAATCAGATTGATTATATTCTCTGCAGCCAAAGATGGAGAAGCTCTATACAGTCAGCAAAAACAAGACCTGGAGCCGATTGTGGCTCTGATTATCAGCTTCTCATAGCAAAATTCAAGCTTAAACTGAAGAGAGAAGGAAAAACCACTGGGCTAGTCAGGTATAATCTAAACCAAATCCCTTATGAATACACAGTGGAAGTGAAGAACAGATTTAAGGAACTAGATTTGGTGGACAGAGTGCCTGAATAACTTTGGATAGAGGCTCGTAACATTGTACAGTAGGCAGCAACAAAAACCATCCCAAAGAAATGGAAATGCAAGAAAGCAAAGTGGCTGTCCAATGAGACCTTACAAATAGCAGAGAAGGGAAACAAAATGCAAGGGAGATAAGGAAAGTTACAGAAAACTGAATGCAGACTCCAAAGAATAGCAAGGAGAGACAAGAGGGCCTTCTTAAATGAAGAATACAAAGAAACAGAGGAAAAGATTAGAAAAGGAAAAACCAGAGATCTCTTCAGGAAAATCGGAGATATTAAAGGAACATTTTGTGCAAAGATGAACATGATAAAGGACAAAAATGGTACAGATCTCACAGAAGCAGAAGACATCAAGAAGAGGTGGAAAGAATACACAGAGGAACTACACTAGAAAGATTTGGATATCCCGGACAACCCAGATCGTGTGGTTGCTGACCTTGAGCCAGACATCCTGGAGAGTGAAGTCAAGTGGGCCTTAGAAAGCCTGGCTAACAACAAGGCCAGTGGAGGTGATGGCATTCCAGTGAACTATTTAAAACAGGGGTCTCAAACTCAATTTACCTGGGGCCGCTGGAGGCAGAGTCTGGCTGAGGCTGGGCCGCATCAGATTTTCTGCCAAGCAGAGCAAGAGCCCGAGGAAGCCACCCAGGAATTTCCTTAGCGTGGCTGGGGCTCCGAAGAGGAGGAGGAGGAAGGGGGCACGAGCCCTCGTCACCAGCCATGAGCCCCTCCAGCTCCTTCTTCACTAACACCAGCACCAGCACCAGCAGGATGAAGAAGCGGAGAAGGGAGGGAGTGCTGGCAACCGCTTAGCGGGGGGAAGGTGGGCACAACATAAAAAATTTTTTAAAACCCTCACAGAATTTGCCTTGCCAAAGGAGAAAAGCCTCCACCGGTACCCGCGAAATTAAACAGAACAGGGCAGGGCCCCCACAGGTGCGTACACACACACACACACACACATCCGGCAACCTTCCTCTCAGCACCCCCCGTCAAAAAAGGCGCACTCAGCAGCAGCAGCTATCCCCCCCACGACACAGGAGCAAACTTTGCGAGACGAGCCCAGGCAGCCTCCAGAGCCGAGGTGGCTGAAGCAGGACGAAGAGGAGGAGGAGGAAGCACCGCTGGGTGCTGAGGAGGCTGCTGACCGGGCTGGTGCTGGGGGTGCCAAGAGAGAAAGAGAGCCAGAGAGCTGCTTCCCTGGAAGAGGCGGTGGCAGTGGCAGCTGCTGTTGGCGGCTTGGAGGCACTCTTCAAGGACGGGACGGGAGCTAGCTCCACTCAGCGACAGCTCGAGCGCTCAGGGAAAAGAGCTGGTAGCGCACCTCGCTCGCCGGCTCTCCCCCAAGACAGCGCTTCTTGCACCCTCCATTCAAAACTGCAGCCTGCCAGTTGGCAAACCGGCGGGCGGGCTGGCAGGTGCAGTTCTGGATGCAGGGTGCTAGAGGCACTGTCTTGGGAGAGAGCCGGCAAGCAAGGCAAGGCTTTTTCTTTTATTCTTGACTGCAGAGGGCGTGTGGGTGCTTCGGGGGGGCAGCAAGGCAGGGGCCACAAACTATCATCCGGTGGGCCGCAAATGGCCCCTGGGCTGCATGTTTGAGACCCCTGATTTAAAATATTAAAAGATGACACTGTTAAGGTGCTACACTCAATATCAAGTTTAGAAAACACAGCAGTGGCCATAGAATTGGAAAAGATCAGTCTACATCCCAATCCCAAAGAAGGGCAGTGCCAAAGAATGCTCCAACTACCATACAATTGCACTCATTTCACACGCTAGCAAGGTTATGCTCAAAATCCTACAAGGTATGCTTCAACAGAACGTATGCGGACTGAGAACTCCCATGAGTACAAGCTGAGTTTTGAAGCGGACAGAGGAACTTGAGACCAAATTGCTAACATGCATTGGATTATGGAGAAAGTCAGAGAGCTACAGAAAAACATCTACTTCTACTTCATTGACTATGCAAAAGCCTTTGACTGTGTGGACCACAGCAAACTATGGCAAGTTCTTAAAGAAATGGGAGTGCCTGACCACCTTGTCTATCTCCTGAGAAATCTATATGTGGGACAGGAAGCAACAGTTAGAACTGGATATGGAACAACTGATTGGTTTAAAATTGGGAAAGGAGTATGACAAGGCTGTATATTGTCTCCCTGCTTATTTAACTTATATGTAGAATACATCATGCAAAAGGCGGGACTTGATGAATCCCAAGCAGAAATTAAGATTGCCGGAAGAAATATCAACAACCTAAGATATGCAGATGGTTCCACTCTGATGGCAGAAAGTGAGGAGGAATTAAAGAACCTTGTAATGAGGGTGAAAGAGGAGAGTGCAAAAAACAGTCTGAAGCTCAATATAAAAAAAACTAAGATCATGGCCACTGGTCCCGTCACCTCTTGGCAAATAAAAGGAGAAGATATGGGGGCAGTGACAGATTTTACTTTCTTGGGCTCCATGATCACGGCAGATGGGGACAGCAGCCACCTTATTAAAAGACACCTGCTTCTTGGGAGGAAAGTGATGACAAACCTAGACAGCATCTTAAAAAGTAGACCTCACCTTGCTGACAAAGGTCCGCATAGTCCGAGCTATGGTTTTTCCAGTAGCGATGTATGGAAGTGAGAGCTGGACCATAAAGAAGGCTGACCACCAAAGAATGGATGCTTTTGAATTGTGGTGCTGGAGGAGACTCTTGAGAATGCCCTGGACTGCAAAGAGAACAAACCTATCCATTTTGAAGGAAATCACCCCTGAGTGCTCACTGGAAGGACAGATCCTGAAGCTGAGGCTCCAGTACTTTGGCTATCTCATGAGAAGAGAAGACTCCCTGGAAAAGACCCTGATGTTGGGAAAATGTGAAGGCAAGAGAAGAAGGGGACAACAGAGGATGAGATGGTTGGACAGTGTCATCAAAGCTACCAACATGAATTTGACCAAACTCCGAGAGGCAGTGGAAGACAGGAGGGACTGGCATGCTATAGTCCATGGGGTCACAGAGTTGGACACAACTTATCAACTAAACAACAACAACAAGCTATTGGTTTCAGTAGACAAGTGTCCTCTGATATGTTTGGTCAGAATTCCAGTTGAGTTCCATGGGGCTTATTCACAGGTACATGTGTACAGAATTGCCAATAGGCAAAGCAATTTGAATTGAAACATATGCTGGATGTAGTATGTTTGCAATGACATAAGCCCTTTGGGATGACACAGCTGCCCTTGAGCCAACACAGACCCTTGTGCTGGTTGATCTAAGATCTGCTGGTACAAATGGATCTGCTTGCACATCTGCTATGTAGAGATCAGGAGAAAGGCAGATCTAAACCCCTCTCAGCCCAGACTTACACCCTCTACCTACTACAATGTTAGGCCAGAATAAAGCTAGTCATCCTACATCATTTCCAACATCCCCAAACAGGGAGGGGGTTAGATTCAGCAGAGACTCATTTGGTTATAGTATCAGCTCATTCAGACCTCAGTCATCTTGGCTAGTTAGGACTGTGCTCTAAATCTGTATAGGATTTGTGTCCTGTCAACAACATGAGGAATGAAAGAACTGAAGAACATCTTATGCATTCAATTAACTATGAGACATATAAGATCAAAGCATGGTTCAACAAAATAATAAGTGTGATCTATACAAAGTCGAGCAGTTACACACTGGTTGCAATGAGAGAGTTCAATGCGTATTTAATTGTGGCTAGATGTAAGTACAAATTTGACTAACTTGTGTTAACAATGTGACAATAACCAGGCAATACATTAAAACTACTCAGTTCATTCAAATTCATTGTCTCCATCACACATCTTACCTGCTTTTATCATCTTCCATTTTTTCAGTACTTTCCCTTCTTCCCTGATTAGCCAAGCTGTGAACATTTAAATGTTCCTGAGGGCTTTTGATTACCCCTACTCTTGCAGTCATAATTAGGATTTATTATCTGGAGAAGTAAGATAAAAAAATATTCATATGAATCGAAGACTGAACTTAAGATCTGGCAAAACAGAGATAAAACAAAACTGGTAGGCATGATCCAGCAAAAACAGAACATGCTGCATTGGCTTCAGTGGCAGAAACCAACACATTATTATCCTCCCTGGCCCACTAAAACCCATGGGATTTTAAGGATTTTAAGACTTAAAATCTTATATGTCTCCAGAGCAAGCTCCATTGATTTCAGGGTGATTTATATTTGAGTAGATGTGCACAGGACTGTGAGGACTGTGATGTAATATAGGTTGCAATATGCTGTGTTTCTTGATTTTACAAAATAAATATTAGGATAGAAATAAAAGTATAAGACATACAGATTCAGCAAAATACAAACAAGTTTAGATGCCATGTGCTTCAGTAATAAGAATAAGCTCATTTAAGAGAATGACACTTCCAAGCAGGCACAAATAAGATCATGCTAGCAATGTGTTTACATTTCACTGGATCATAACAAAATACTTTTCAGTCCTCTCCTGGTATTAATCATTTTGTTATATGTAGAAAATACATTATTACTTCTTGCATTTTACACAAGTTATTTGCTTTTGTTTCCCAAATGAATACCAGCCTAACAGAGATATGTTTTTAAAGATTATATAGAATAATAAATGCACATTAATTCTCATTTTATTACATGAAGCTTCTGCAGCCTTTTCCAAGGAAATTATTAGCCCCTTCAGCTCAACACATTGCAGTATTACCCACTCCTTACATTCCATTGAGCATTACCTTTCAAACTTCAGTTTATTAATAACCCACCAATGCATTCACTTGAGCAGCCTAAACATAACTGAATGACATAAACAATAAATACGAACCTCATTTCATTCATTCCACTGCAACAAATCCCATGTGGTAATGAAGTCCTTCGCCTCCTAGGAAAGGGTACCTCTGCCACAACACAAACTGGGGAAAATACATGAGCTCTAGAAAGAGATGCCCATGCTGCTGTTGTAATATGATGGTATTATCGTGCCTGCTTGTTCTTACCTTGGGAACATAATCTGCCGTTCTTTGTTATGAAATAAATCCTTTAAGTCTCCCCACTGCTGCAACTACAGAGCTAATAAAAATCTATAACTGAGCAAGGCTCAAATTTCCCTTCAGAAGTACTCTCTGTAATATAATAAGTAGCATTTAATATTAGTCTAAGAACAAGATGTGAGATTAGGCTTTTAAAAAAATGCTTTTTAAAAAAATTCCATATTCTGTGAGAACATATTCTTGTGCCATTTTCCAGAAGCCAATGGCCCAAGAGCACTTCTGCCTCCCCTCCCAATCTTTGCTCACCTGTCCCTTGAGACTTTACAAGGGCCCACCTCGTGGCATCCCAAAGACCACCTCCAGCATCCTTAATTTTTGGTCTTGAAATCTCAGGGAATTGGGTACTTACTAGTGATCCAGCAACCCTATTCCTGGGAACAGAATACTCTGTGAATCATCCCCAGGGCATTCTGCTCTAGAAACACGGCCAGGTGGCTGCAGGTAGCCAAATTGCCTGCTGAAGAGGTACCAAGGTATTTTTGTGGGTATGTAAAAGAAAGCAAAGACTGCTGTGGGTTTTTTTTTCTTTCAAAAATAGCCACTTTGTATTTTAAAAAAAGACCTCCTAATGATATGAGAAATTTCCCCAAAGAAAGATGCAGTTTTAAGAATATATTTTCATTATTATAATGTAAAATGCTAAAAAAAAGTTGGTTGGAATAATTTAACCCAGTTCTATGTAATGTTACTCTAAAATAGCAGTCTACATAATAGTCTCATAAATAAAATCTTTCCTTTTTGGTGTACTTTCATGTTTATTTATTTATTTATTTATTTATTTATTTATTTATTTATTTGATTTATATCCCGCCCATCTGGTATAATTATACCACTCTGAGCGGCTAACAACAGAACAAAT